TCTTAGTGCCGTGGGATGTGCACTTAAAGGGAAGAAAATCTTATGTAAAAAATGACTATTGAAGGAGTTTAATTCATAAGAATAAAGTAGCACGGAATAATTTTTTCCTTTTTTAAAATGATGATGGTACGGGTTGGTAGTTCTATAAAAATAAGGGTGGAATTTTAGAGCAAAGAAAATGGAAGCCGGCATTTATATTGATGTACAGTTTATGGCTATAGGTGATATGCTAGTGCATTGGTACATTATGAGAACTATATGGTTGTGTTGTGTTAGTGATTTATAGGTGGTCAATGGTGTCGTTTGTTTGTACTTTTTGGGTATTATATGTGTTTAGTGTGGTGGTTAGTTAATAATGTGGGAGGTGATGTTTAGGTAATATATGAGTGAGGGATGACTACTTTGCCTTAGTTGGAAACTTTTGAGAGGCCTGAGTTTTAAAACCTTGTATATTGTATATTTTATTAAGCCTTGATTAACACTTGTAGTGCATACATTGTTCTTATGGTGCATGCATTGATGTGTGAGGCTGTTTTCATTATATAAACTTGGGAGTATTAATTATACCTGTGTATTTTACAGAGACTCATCTCAAATCTAAAATGTTACATTATTCTTCGAGGCTTTGGAAGCATGTGAGATGCTTTTTAGATTATCAGAAAAACTCTGTTTATACAGTTCTTTCCATAATTGCTGCACATCATGGTAAATAGCTCCCTCTGCTGGTCTTAAGGAAAATATCAGTGAGGATGTTCTATATTCAAGCACTGAGGATGCTTTTGCACTAATCCTGCATTGGTGACCTGCCAGCCATTTCCCATGATCCTTCAGGGGGGATTAAAGGTTCCCAAGCCGGGTGACAATCTACAAGGGGGATGGGGAGACAGCTTGGTGATGTGATACAACATGAAGAGGTGACGGGGTAAAGACAGTATGCATTTCGAGCTTCAGTGAAAGAGAACACATGAAGCCGGCTCATAGAAACACTGAATTGAAGTCGAAAGTAGCACAGGAAACGCTCAAACATGGTGCATCTATTGGTAAGTGATCCCATTACTAGCAGACATTGTGAAAGGCACAGGGTCGTGTAATATCCTCTTAACATCCTCCACCTCGTCTTTAGTTCTTGCTTTACAGTGGTTTCCAAAAGTAGTGAACAAGATATTTTCTTGGACAGGAAATGTAGTCTGTGCCTCTTTGACAGTGTGATTTATTACAAAAGGAAGTCAGTGCTACCAATGATAGTTTCCAGAATTGTTTACTTTCAAAAGATCATTTATGATCAGTGCCAGCATTACCACTGGGTTTCTGAATTGCATAGGCTAAAAATGTTCAGTCGTCTGGGCAAAATTATGTACAAAAGTCAAAATGTATTCGATGTATGTGAAACACTGTCACGGTTCAAAATATTTATTATTTTTTTTAAAATAAAAAATAATTTAAAAAAATGGTTTTATTAGTTAATGGTTTCTTAAGTGTATGAAATATACTATCAGGGTTATTTACTAAAGTGAGAATTTAAGATAAATTCAATGTGAATTCCAAATTTAAAGGAGCACTATAGGGTCACGAAAACAACCATGTATTCCTGACCCTATAGTGTTAAACCCAGCATTTAGGTGGCTTGCCCCCCCTCAGCCCTCTTAAAAGCAATGAAAACTCACCTTATTTTCAGCGCCGCGCGGGTCTGCCAGCACTGGCGCACCCCTTTGTGACATTATTACAATTGAAGATTTTTTGCCAATCCAATGCTTTGCCATTGGCTAAAATGTCAAGGGGCGGGGCCAATCATCACCTCCTCATAGAGATGTATAGAATCAATGCATCTCTATGAGGAACATTCTGCGTCTTAATGCAGAGCATAGAATTGCAGTACTGCCTACTGTGCAGCACTGAGCCAGAAAGCACCTCTAGTGGCCATCTAAGGAGTGGAAACTTGGAGGTGTCCCTAGGGGCAATGTAAACACTGCCTTTTCTCTGAAAATGCGGTGTTTGCATTAAAATGCCTGAAGGCAATGATTATACTCACCAGAACAACTACATTTAGCTATAGTTGTTCTGGTGACTATAGTGTCCCTTTAAGGCCAGAGTAGCGGAACTGAAAGCACAGTTGACTTTGAGAATGTTTCCACTTCCGCTATTCTGACTTTATATTTGGAATTCACCTTGAATTCTCACTTTAGTGAATAACAGTGTATATATTGGTAATCCCCCCCTCCCACGGCCAGTGAGAGAAATCCCAGGATTTTCAGCTACAAACTTTAAATTAGGATGGGGGCTAGACTCCTTGGCTGCTCCGCCTGGGCCCTTTTTTTCTACCGGCACATCCCCAGTCCAGGCCTCTCAGAAAGGAATTGGCTAAGTGACTGACTTACTGTGCCTAATGGAGCTCACTCCAGCATTTCATAAAGGTCCTGTAGCCTCAAGCAAAATGTCACTAGACTATAGTATTCTAGTATGTCTCTATATCCTTTATAGGTGGTATATTGCCTGTGTACAGTCCTACTGCTGTTTGTTTGTCATTATACATAATCATATTTATATTTCCCTGTTCTATCAGTGTAGGCCAGTGCTTCCTGCTATTTAGCGTATGGTTATGTCTATTATTAATACCAGTGCATAATCTGTAGTCTACCTTACTATAAATTGTCTATGGGCATTGATTTCCTCCTACAACACAGGAAAAATAGCCTTCAGCCCACTTTCTATTGTGTGCAATATACTTCCATGTTATTTTAAATATTTCTTTAAATGCTATATTGCAATATGTATCTTATATGCTTGTGGATAGATGCAAAAAAAAAAAAAAAAATAATGAATAAAATAAATGATCACTACTTGGGAGAAAATGAAACCAAATTGGTCATTTAAATTTTTGTAGTAGAAACGGAAACAAAACTCATAACTTTGTGATCCTTCGAGGAACCAAATGTCCGTTCTACTGAGATTTTTAACGTAGCCAAGAATTGTGGGGAATGTATAAGAGAAGTGGAAACCTTAGGACAATTTAACCAAGCTGAAAAATATCTGAATTGAAACAGTCAGCTATTTTGTCCCAAATCCCTTGGCATTTCTCCACAATTCCAAGTTTAGCCAATACACCAACAGGGTTTTCTCATTCATTCTCCAAAAACCAGAGGTGATAAAGTTGCTTCATGCTTGCACCTGCCCAAAGCAACATTATATCACCCTCAGCTGCCTCTGTGCAAAACTGCCGCATTACCATAGCAACATGCTTATTTATATATACTTATTTATTCTTGAGTTGGTAGAGTTAATGAGAATTCATTGAAAACTGAATTTGACACTTGGCATGATCATGAAGTAACGTGATTTTAATTCTTATTCCTTAAACATACATATACTCATTCACAGTGCTAAAGAAATGTTGCTGTAAATGCATTATATATCAAAATTAAAATGTAATAGACTTGTCAGAAAGATACACCCCTATACTTTTAATACAATAATTAGTGCAAGAAAAGCTTTTTGTAATTAACTGTCTCTTTAACAGCAAGTCAGTTGATAGAAAATTAATATAAAGATAAATACTGTATAATGCTCTGCCCAGTTAAATATTATTGTTGATAAAGACAGAAGTTCATATTGGAGTAGAATCATTAATTTCTCGTAAGACCATCTGACAGCTGAAAACTAAAGAACAGAAGTGAAAATGGCAGTACCTGAAAACTGACCAAGATGCCCAGTATTTGTAATGAATCCGTACGATTATGTGATTGATAGCTGTTATTTTTTTTATATATTTTTTTTTTGTAATGTAATCATGTAACAGCTGGTGGATATTCGATATGAGATTCCATCCACTGTGATGTACAGAGAGAGACAGCGGGACATAGTGAAACAAATGCTGTCTGTGTGTGTAGGAGGCAAGAGAGAAATTGGCAGTGTGGGGGGAGAAAGGTGTAAGTGGAGGGGAGCAAGTGTAAAGCTGGGATTAAAGAAGCAATAGGGAAGAGAGAAGATGTGTTAGAATGAAGACAGCCAGGTAAGAAGCACAGGTAATGGATACAATGTTTTGATAAAATATGAGAAAATCACGTATAATAACATAAGTAGAGCATTGGTTCCCAACCCACTCCTCAGGGCACACCAATACTCCATGTTTAGTCAAAATCCATATGAGAACAGAACTTCCTAAATACTGAACTGTTGGTATGCCTTAAGGATTGGAACCACAAGTTCAGATTGAAAATGGCATGATCGCTGTGCAGAGTGAGTATTGTATATATTCAGAGCCCTGTCTGAAGAGTTAGCACTATGTAATGAGTGAGCCCTGTCTGAAGAGTGAGCACTATGTAAGGAATGAGCCCTGTCTGAAGAGTGGGCACTATTTACGAAGTGAGCCCTGTCTGAAGAGTGAGCACTATGTAAGGAGTGAGCCCTGTCTGAAGAGTAAGCACCATGTAAGGAGTGAGCCCTGTCTGAAGAGTGGGCTGGGCACTCTGTAATGAGTGAGCACTATGTAATGAGTGAGCTTGGTCTGGAGAGTGAGTACTATGTAATGAGCGAGCCCTGTCTAGAGAGTGAGCACTATGTAAGGAGTTAGTCCTGTCTGTAGTTTGAGCACTATGTAATGAGTGAACTTGGTATGTAGAGTGAGCATTATGTAATGAGTCAGCCTGATCTGGAGAGTGAGCACTATGTAATGAGTGAGCCCTGTCTATAGAGTGAGCACTATGTAAGGAGTGTAAGCTCTGTCTAAAGAGAAGACACTAAATGAGGGTCCATTCCGAATAGTAAGCATTGTGTTTGCAAAGGACGAGATTTCATATAAAGAAAAATATGAATTTGTTAGGATGGTAAAGGAGATAAAAAAAAAATGTTAGAAAATGCAGCGAGCTCTATGATTCAATTATGCAGACTTAGGAAGGGAGTAACCCTTAGTATAAGTTATTTTGCTAAATTTGAGATTAGCCACAGAAAATATATAAAAAGGTAAATGTAGAGGTTAAAACAAAGAAAAAAAAGAAGAGATAAAGAAAAAGCCCTATCGTGAAAAACTAGTGATTTCATAAACCACTTTATGGTTTATGAAATCACTAGTTTTTCACGATAGGGCTTTTTCTTTCATTGTGTGACAACAACCTTTCTCCTTTTTTAATATATGAAATAAATGAAAAGTTTTAACCTATACATTTACCTCTATATATATTTTCTGTGGGCTAATCTCGAATTTAGCAAAATAGGTAAAAAAGTTGCTACATGTTAGCCACGACCATTTTTCCATATACCTACTGAGTCAGCCATAAGTGAGCCTGCCAGGACTTAAATAGAAAATAAATTCTCTAAACATGATTGGTTTTGAGCTTTGGTGTCATTCATGAAAGAGTTGGCCATTGGTCTGAATCCTTATGGACACTCAGTCAAATTGAAATGGGTTAAATCTTGTTGGTGTCTGGAAAATACCCTGAACTGATACAGAAATTAACATAGGGGCTGAATGAGCTCCTGCTGTAGACGACTTGAATTGAAAAATTGACTCTTAGCATGTATCTATCACAATTCAAACTTCCAGGACCACTTTACTGTCAGTAATTAACGTCTTTTGGGGAATATAGGACACAATTTTTATGCCAAAATTTGAGGTTAAATAGTGCCTGCGTCCTATATGCCGAATGTGTCCTTTAAACTGTAATATATATATATATACAGGCACAATCCATGGCAGAATAGTGTTACTTTAAACAACAACTGTCACCTCCAAACTATTTTTAATACAATGATCTTTTCATCATAAAATCGATTTTTTTTTTTGTTAAATGAAGTATATAAAAAACAAAAACAAAGTCATCCCTTCTTAGTATATGAGAGGCCCATTCAGCCATGTGCATACACCTCGGGTCAGACAGTGTTTGAAAGCCAGCAGTTAGTCTCTATGGTCCTACCTGCTTCCAGTGACATCATCAGAGCCACTAACTGTCACATGCCGGCACTGTGTCACTGTGTGTGCGTGACGCAATGTACATGGCAATGGCTAAAAGATCCTTTTATAGACTAAAGGTATGAATGTGTTTTTATCATTTCTAAATATATACTTCATTTAAAAAAAACACACACACATATATATATATATATATATATTTCCTTTCAAAACCTTATAAAGGAATTATTATATAAAAACAAACAAAACCATATTTTTGATGTAGCACTTTTCCTTTAAGGCTGGCGGCCCTCCTGCAAAATGGGGGGTTTAACGCAGCGGGGAGGCATAGTACGTCCTGCGGTTCGCGCCCCACCCTGCATACTTACCCTCTGCTGCGATCCATATCAGGAGGACAGCCTACAACCCAGGCAGTCCACCCAAAGCAAATTCGGCCCCTTTGGGTAATGTGATCGCGATGTCACATTGCTGGATCGGCTTTCGAAGGCAGTATCTGCAGGGTGGAAAACAAATATTAATACACACCAAAAATGCAATATATATATATACGCACACATGTATATACACACATACACATACATATACACACAGCTTAAAAAATAAATAAAGGGAACACAAAAATAACATCCTAGATCTGAATGAATTAAATATTCTTCTGAAATACTTTGTTCTTTACATAGTTGAATGTGCTGACAACAAAATCACACAAAAATTTAAAAATGGAAATCACATTTTTCAACCCATGGAGGTCTGGATTTGGAGTCACACTCAAAATGAAAGTGGAAAAAACACACTACAGGCTGATCCAGCTTTGATGTAATGTCCTTAAAACAAGTCAAAATGAGGCTCAGTAGTGTGTGTGGCCTCCATGTGCCTGTATGACCTCCCTAAAACGCCTGTGCATGCTGCTGATGAGGTGGCGGATGGTCTCCTGAGGGATCTCCTCCCAGACCTGGACTAAAGCATCTGCCAACTCCTGGACAGTCTGTGGTGCAACGTGACGGTGGATGGAGCAAGACATGATGTCCCAGATGTGCTCAATTGGATTAAGGTCTGGGGAACAGGCGGGCCAGTCCATAGCATGAATGCCTTCGTCTTTGATACACTCCAGCCACATGAGGTCTAGCATTGTATTGCATTAGGAGAAACCCAGGGCCACCCGCACCAGCATATGGTCTCACAAGGGGTCTGAGGATCTCATCTCGGTACCTAATGGCAGTCAGGCTACCTCTGGCGAGCACATGGAGGGCTGTGCGGCCCCCGTAAGAAATGCCACCCCACACCATTACTGACCTACTGCCAAACCGGTCAGGCTGGAGGATGTTGCAGACAGCAGAACGTTCTCCACGGCGTCTCCAGACTCTGTCACTACTGTCACATGTGCTCAGTGTGAACCTGCTTTCATCTGTGAAGAGCACAGTGGCGAATTTGCCAATCTTGGTGTTCTCTGGTAAATGCCAAACTTCCTGCACGGTGTTGGGCTGTAAGCACATCCCCCACCTGTTGACGTTGGGCCCTCATACCACACTCATGGAGTCTGTTTCTGACCGTTTGAACAGACACATGCACATTTGTGGCCTGCTGGAGGTCATTTTGCAGAACTCTGCTGGGTTGTTGCCCTCCTACGGCCTCCTCCACGTCTCCTGATGTACTGGCCTGTCTCCTGGTAGCGCCTCCATGCTCTGGACACTACGCTGACAGACACAGCAAACCTTCTTGCCACAGCTCGCATTGATGTGCCATCCTGGATGAGCTGCACTACCTGAGCCACTTGTGTGGGTTGTAGACTCCGTCTCATGCTACCACTAGAGTGAAAGCACCACCAGCATTCAAAAGTGACCAAAACATCAGCCAGGAAGCATAGGAACTGAGAAGTGGTCTGTGGTCGCCACCTGCAGAACCACTCCTTTATTGGGGGTGTCTTGCTAATTGCCTATAATTTCCACCTGTTGTCTATCCCATTTGCACAACAGCATGTGAAATTGATTGTCACTCAGTGTTTCTTCCTAAGTGGACAGTTTGATTTCACAAAAGTGTGACTGACTGGGAGTTACATTGTGTTGTTTAAAGGACCACTCTAGGCACCCAGACCACTTCAGCTTAATGAGGTGGTCTGGGTGCCAGGTCCTTCTAGGGTTAACCCATTCTTTTATAAACATAGCAGTTTCAGAGAAACTGCTATGTTTATGAATGGGTTAAGCCTTCCCCCAAATCCTCTAGTGGCTGTCTCATTGACAGCCGCTAGAGGCGCTTGCGTGATTCTCACTGTGAAAATCACAGTGAGAGCACGCAAGCGTCCATAGGAAAGCATTGATAATGCTTTCCTATGCTACCGGCTGAATGCGCGCGCAGCTCTTGCCGCGCGTGCGCATTCAGCCGACGGGGAGGAAAGGAGGAGGATCGGAGGAGGAGAGCTCCCTGCCCAGCGCTGGAAAAAGGTAAGTTTTTACCCCTTTCCCCCTTCCAGAGCCGGGTGGGAGGGGGTCCCTGAGGGTGGGGGCACCCTCAAGGCACTATAGTGCCAGGAAAACAAGTTTGTTTTCCTGGCACTATAGTGGTCCTTTAAGTATTCCCTTTATTTTTTGAGCAATATATATATATATATATATATATATATATATTTATTATTATTATTATTATTTATATAGCGCCAGCAAATTCCGTAGCGCTGTACAGTGCTATATGTATATATGTGTGCGTGTGTATGTGTATATGCATATATATTATTTACAAGCCCTATATCTGACCCTGTAACTTTCAAAAACACCCTAAAAACTCTACATGGGGGGTAATGTTGTATTTTGGAGACTTTGCTGAACACAAATAGAAGTGTTTAAAAACAGTAAAATGTATCATGACATTGATATCATTAGTGAAATTACAGGTTTTTTTTGTGAAAAATGCAGAAAAATAAATATGAATGCTAACTTTGGCCAGGTTTCGCATCTAAGTGGCTACTAAAAAAGACTGAATATAACCCATTTTGAACACCCTGGGATGTCTACTTTTGCAAATGGTATGCTACTATGGGGTTCATTTTCATTCCTGGGCTGCTATACGGTTTGAAAGGCAACATAGGCCCAGCGAACTAATCTGGCAAATTTCAATATGTAAAAACTGGAAAGGGGAAAGCCCCATACTTATCCTGTAACTTTCCAAAACACCATAAAAACTGTAGAGGGGATACTGTTTTACTCGTGAGACATTACTGAACACAAATATGTGTATTTTATTGCAGTATTATAACATTCACAGTTAAAATGCCATGCAGAACTTTTAGATGTTATTCATATTAAATTATGTTTCATGTATAAATATGTGATGTGCCCTATTTCTCCTGAACAAAATGATATACAACAAGTGTGGGTGAACCTCATATGAAAGCGGTGAATTATGGTTGAACAGACATATAGCGCAAATTCCAGGTTTCGTTTTTTTTTTTCTTCAATTTATATTTTATTCAGTTTAGAATAGCATAATCAACTTTTCCAGTATATCCAGTTAAGTATAAGATGTGAGCATACTGACATCGTAATGGGTATGAAAACATTAATGGGTGTAAGAGTAGGGATCAATAGCAAGATGTTGGGCAGTCTCTGTTGTCTTTATGTTGTTACTTTGTGGTCGTTTGAGGACCATAAGGAGCTGTGTCCAGTGGCAGAGTTCTGTGGACCATTGTGTCATGGTGTGTCACAAAGGGTTTTTTGTAACTCCTTCTGTCTCTGTTTGGTCCGTGTTACTTGTCGGATCTGAGTCTTGCAGCCTTGGGCAGTGAAGTCAGCCTCTTAAAGGACCACTATAGTGCCAGGAAAACATACTCGTTTTCCTGGCACTATAGTGCCCTGAGGGTGCCCCCACCCTCAGGGTCCCCCTCCGCCCGGCTCTGGAAAGGGGAAAGGGGTTAAATCTTACCTTTTTCCAGCGCTGGGCGGAGAGCTCTCCTCCTCCGATCCTCCTTCTCTCCTCCCCGTCGGCTGAATGCGCACGCGCGGCAAGAGCTGCGCGCGCATTCAGCCGGTCTCATAGGAAAGCATTCATAATGCTTTCCTATGGACGCTTGCGTGGTCTCACTTTGAAAATCACAGTGAGAAGCACGCAAGCGCCTCTAGTGGCTGTCAATGAGACAGCCACTAGAGGATTAGGGGGAAGGCTTAACCCATTCATAAACATAGCAGTTTCTCTG